CCCCCCCCCCCCCCACCCCGGAAATGAATAAAATGCTTCTGTTTACAGTGCATTTTAAAAGCTGAGCACCCCATCTACCTGAAATGCCACAGGCCTCTAGAAATCCTGAACTTTCTTTCTCAAAATGGCTGCCAGATGTGTTGGCTCTACTGAATTCCCCTGGGTCTGTAAGACCGGAAGCGGTGAGGTTGTTACCACTTTGGAAGACTGAAGGAAAAACACAGCAAGACCCGTTCTTCCACCCTGCTGCACGGAATGCAGGCTGCAAATCTGAAGGCTTTTCTGTCAAGAATGTTGGTGACCCTTTCCCAGCTCGTGCTGCGACTTTGTTTAAAGGAAGGTAGCCTGGGTTTTGTTGTGGGTTTTTTTTTTTTAACAGTCTGAACAGGGGAGGATGCTGTGCTTCTTCCCCCCTACTAGTGTTCTTCTCTAGAGATTTTTTAGGTAAGCCTTCTCTGCTAAAAAGAGAGGAGTGGGCAGGTATATTCCAAAGAGGCTGAAAGGATATCTGAGACTTTCTGACTTTGAGTTTTCAGAGATTACTTTTAGCAGGAGATCTTTGAGTTTTGATACCTTTATGCTGGCTTGCTTCAGGAACAAGCAGCACTAAACCCTTAGTGAAAAGTGCTGTTGCATAAGTTATAAGCAGCTGTAGTTATGGGTTCTTTCACTTCAGGCCTTTGATATTTAGTGGGTAGTATTGGTACTTAAAGACTTAAGCTAATTGCTATCATAGTAATTGGTGCTCTGTAGTGCCTCTTCATCCAAAGCTCTTGACAGGATAAGACTTCAGTCCTGCAATCACAGGATTGTGATTGTAGGACTTATCCGGTCCCTGTTACCATGTTATCTGAATGCCTTGCAGTCTTTAATGTATTTCTGCTCCACAGGCTGAAGTAGGGAAGTGCTGCTGCTTGCGTTTTACAGATGGAAGGCAGAAGCAGTACAGACAGTGCCTCTTCACTGCTGTAACTATGCCGTGGCTGTAGTGGTAGATGTACCCTCCCTAGCTGAAGTACCCGGGGCGTAGGTGCAGCAGCTCAGTGGTGTTTAAACCATCTTGTGTATGCCTGTGTGCCATCTATTCTGAGTGAGCTGCCCAAGGCTTTCCATGGGGGCCTGCTGGGGAGCTAGGGAATTCAGGCATTGTCTCCAAGTCCTAGACCAGTGCCCTGTCTGCTGGGTTGATTGGATTGGGGGATAGCAGCCTGGGCTTGGAAAGTACTGCTGAAGCGAGTGTGGATGGCAGAAGTAAAACATATCTCCAGACCTCACTGTCACATCTCTGTACCTTTCATCAGGAAGGCAGGAGAGGATCCAGTCTGCAATGCAGCCCTTCTGGAGGTGTTGATAACCCTCCTCTTTGACACAACCATCCCTTTAACTGTTTGTTTGGATTTATTACTCATTGTAGATCTTCTTGGTTTTGTGCTCTGTTTTACTTACTGTTGCCTCTTGCAAAGGCAGCTCCGAACATACAGGTCAGGTTTGGGAGGGAAAGAGAAAATGGGATTTGATATGTCGGTTTATATGCACATCTGTTACTGATGCAAGCAAATGTTCACTCCCTAAAACCTCTGCGGTCCAACTTGTCCTGCTTTGTATGAGTGCCTGGCTCGCCTTCATGATTTCTGCTGGAGCCACTCACAGCCTCAGGCCAGAATCCCAAAAATATTTTTGTGCAATTCTGCTGCTTTCAGAGAACTGACACGACTTCAGTTAAGCCACGCGAAGAAGGTTTCCACCCTTCCCAGCCTGTGATCCTACAGGAACGTGGTGATTCCTTCACCAGAGGCTTTATCGCACTGACAGGAAGAGGAGGCTTGGACATGTAGGAAAAATGCTTAAAGACAATTAAAATATTGTGGGAAGGGTGGTGCAGAAAATTCATGTCCAAGGAATATGGACTTTGGCTCCTGGTGTGTGTATTATCACTGTGTTGGGGCCACAGTGTGTCTGCCAGAGTTGCTCTTTGTCACAGGCCAGGAGCTGATTGAGTCAGATGGACCTGAAATGTCTTGCTTGAGACAAACTGTATGTTGTGGCTGCCTTATTACTCATTCTAACTGACAAAATAAATGGATTTTTGCTGTGAGTCGGTTGGTTCTTCTCTCTTAGTAGGTATAATGGGGGATGCTTCCATTCCTGTGTAACTTAGTTTCCTGATGGCAACTCTCATAGTTGAAGCGGAATCAGGGCTGAAATTGTCATGTAAATCTTTTGCCCCAGAGGAATGAAGTGAATGCTGTATAGTGGGAAATGAGCACTTAATGCAGGGTAGACTTGAGCTGAAGGCTTGGAGGTGGAGGTGGGTTCTGTAGCTGCTATTTTAGAAGTTGCTTCAGTGGTGATGGGGGCTGTGTTGCAAAGAGCCTTCTGCCTGGGGAATATCTGAATAGCATGGAGGAGACTCTTGGGATTGGGAGCCTACAAGATGATTCTGGGCCAGATTTGGAATGTTTTTTCCATTTACAAGCTTCAGTCAAACAGTAAAATGTTGCCTTTGTATTCCTTCTGTAGTAACCCTCCACTGAGCGAGGAGATGCTGCCTCCAGGGGAGTGGATGTGTCATCGTTGCACTGTGCGTCGAAAGGTAAAACTCCCATCAAACGCTTGCTGTATTTTGGGTCCTCCTACACCTTAAGTTAAACTAAGAGCCGAGCAGAATTGTAAGTTGGAGTTTTCTCAGCCCTGTCCCCACAAACCCCAGAGATGGAGGCTGGGGGAGTGCCCAAGCTCCAGTTTGAAAGCACGGTTGTGGTGGGTGAGCAGAGAGAGATTTAGTTAGGAGCTGGTGTCTGGCAAGCTCTAAGGCCTGCTTGATAAAGAAGTCCCAGGGGCTTGCACTAGTTTTGCTATTAGAAATTGAGACTGAAATAAAACTCTGTTTCAAGTACTTAACTCAAGCCCTCACCAAGCAGCAGCTTTTTGCACTCAGGGAGAGAACGTGTCACAGATATCAGATGGAATAATTCTGCATGGGTCAGGGAGGTGTACAGACTGACTTGCCAAGGCTTCCCATCGTTCATGTCTGATCCTTGGAGCCCAGTGTCTCATGCCTCTGGTTCAAAGAAGGAAAAAACTACCCAACCTAGTGACCTCACAGCAATTTCCATAGCAACAGAGGGTGAAATCACGGTGAATTATGACTTCCTTATTTGTAGGAACAGGATGAGAAGATGATTGGGCAAGATTGTGGTTTGTTTTTTGACACGACATTTCTCCAGGAAGCCGGCCTTGCGAAATGTAAACATGATTTTGATGGTATAACTACTTCAGAATGCATGCCCAAGCCTTTGTTTAAAGAGAATTTGCACCCAATTCTCTAGGAAACTATTCAGGTGAAGTGCTGCCCAAATTCAGCTCAAAAACAGGGCTCTTCCAACCTGCTACCTTTTTCATCAATCTCTTGCTCTTTGCAAATCGTTCTGATGCTTGTGTAAGTGTCTTCAAGGTATAAACTTGTCCAAAAACAAAAAGAACAATGGCTTTGCTTTATCTGACTCTCTTTCGTTACTTAGACGTAGTCCTTAAATTGTGCTTGTTTCTAGGGTCAGGAGGTGCCACCTCCAGATAAATTGTGTTGAGCAGGAAGCTCTGTCTAGCAGCTCTAAACCCTTCCCTTTCTCTCCACTATAGATTTCTTTCCTTCCTGCCTGCCCACCCCCTTTGCCCAGCTATGACTGTGATTGCTCAACGTGTCCCTCAGGTTGAAAACCTTGCATTTTTTCCTTGGGAGGTTCACATCACGCTCTTCTTGGCTTTTGTGTAAATTGATGTGAATACTGTCCACTGTTTTTTCCATGTAAAGCCTATTGCTGAGATCATAAGACCATATGAAAGTAGGGCTGGGAGGGGATCTCACACTAAATCAGTTGCTTGCTAAGTGTTATCTTCTGCTTAATGCCCTCAGCCGCACCCTGAACTGCCGGTTCACGCCCTTTTCTGTGCTATGCATTACAGCGTGGTGGTGTTTTAACGAGACGATGCTGAGTACCAGGCACTGTGCGGTTTGCTGCAAACTCCCTTGCTACTGCACTTCAGTCTTCCTTGCAGTGTCCTCTTGCAACTAAAATCCTGAGTTTTTGATCTTCTGTTGCTCCTTACCCACAGATCCCCATTGCGCCAGCTCCAAGCACAAAGGCCCAGTTCTTGTACTGGCATGTTGCACGTTCATTTGGTATGCTGCTTTCCCCAACTACCACTCTCTAGTTCTTGAATAGTTGCACCTATGATGGGTTCAGTAACTTTGCAGAGACCAGAGCACTGCATCAGCCTGCGGACTGGTCTGCTGTGCATTACTGTTTCAAGAGCTGTCACCAGGAAAACGTTCTCCGAAATGGTGGCTCTCATTGAATGTTAGTTGGCACTGAAGGATGCTAATTTAATTGGCGTCTGCATTTGAACCCAAGACTTTGGAGATGAAAGGTGGGTATACTAAACCCTGCCTCCCTCCAGTTTCTTTTTTAATCTTTAACAGTAACCAGGATGCTTTTACGCGTGTAAGGCTAAATGCCATGGTGAGAAGTTGTGCAGTAAAATTCCTTCTGCTTGGCTCCTGTCTCTGATGCATTTAGTCTTTGCATACACATCAAGTCTGGTGTGCTCGTTTGTGTGGCCTCCATGGTAAGCCTGACTGTTCATGTCATGCAGAAGCGGGAGCAGAAGAAAGAGCTGGGGCAGGTAAATGGATTGGTGGACAAAGCTGGGAAAAGGACCACCTCCCCCACCAGTGACGGTGACCTATTGGACAGGTCTAGCAGCAGCATCAGGGCTGTCGCACATACCAGGATCTTGGAACGGAGAGCGAGCCGGCCTGGTACTCCCACCTCCAACGCCAGCACCGAGACCCCCCTTTCGGAGCAGAACGATGTAGATGAGGACATAATTGATGTGGATGATGACTCTGCCATTGCAGAAATGGACTGCGGGCAGCCTCAGCTGAAGCGCCCCTTTGAGCTGCTTATTGCTGCTGCCATGGAAAGGAACCCAACGCAGTTCCAGTTGCCGAATGAACTGACCTGCACCACCGCACTTCCAGGTGAGTGAGAGTGACCGCTTGCTGCGCCAGGCTACAGCTCCTCCTTGCTAACAGCTCCGTAGCATTGCCATCTTGTTGGGGTGGTTTATGCTAATTTCTCTTGGTATTTTGTTCTTAGTCTGGCTGTAGTGACATCTACTGGGAACTCGATAGTGCAGATGTACGCTTTTTCATCTTCTGGCTTCTTTCACACGTGGCTGCTTCTCTCGGGGGTGGCAGGGAAGAAGCCTCTGATTCTGCTGCATCACTAGCAGAATACCCTGGCTTGGTTGTTCCTGAAGTAGAGAAGCATATGGGACTGTCCATGAGATTAAGCAGTGTTGGCCAATAGCATTTGACCAGCCATGAAAAAAACTCTTGTGGCATTTTGTTAAGCTTTATTAATTGCCAGGTGTTCACTGCCCATGTTTTTATTGATTGTATGTGTGTAACAGCTTTGATACCAGATTTGCTGTGCTGAACTTAGCAGCTTTTGTAGCCTCTTCTGAAATCATTTAGAGCTGTCATAAATGTATGTGCATATCCATCTGCTCTCTTTAATCTAAAATAGAAGAGCTTCTACGGGGCAATACAAAGCCTTTTATTTGACTTTTCAGGTACTAGTAAGAGGAGGAGAAAGGAGGAAACCACAGGAAAGAATGTCAAGAAAGCACAACACGAGTTGGACCACAATGGCTTGGTTCCCTTGCCAGTGAAAGTCTGCTTCACGTGCAACAGGTACCAGGTGTTCTCAGAGTTTCTCTTGATGTGGGCAAGATCCACATTTGTTCAGATGCTTTTTGCAGGGGTGAATTTGGCATCATTTGAAATTACTTGGGTTTGTTTTTCCCCTTAGTTTAGTAATGTATGCTACTTTCCATCTGCTTTTTATACTCAGCTGGAAAAGAAAGAGGTTTGTAATTGCACTTAGTAAGGTACAACCATCTCGGGCATTTGTGATTTGGCTAAGTCAGTGCTCTTGAGGCACCCTGGGGTGGCCTGGCTTTTTCCTACCCCTTTTTTTAGTGTTGGAATCTCCGTCCTTGGAGGCTTTGAAGGCCTGGCTAGACAAAGCCTTGGCTGGGATGATGTAGTTGGGGCTGGTCCTGCTTTGAGCAGAGGGTTGGACCAGATGACCTCCTGAGGTCCCTTCCAACCCTAAATTTCTGATTCTCTGATTACAGTGCATAACAACTAATATGCACATTCTGTATAAATAAATTTGTCCATTATGTCAGTTGTAGAC